TAGGGATTTAGGGTTTTGGCGTTTAGGGTTTGGGGGCTCCTTGGGTGTTATTCAAACTAGAAGTTTCCGGCTGCAGGGTCTTGGATTTTTGCAGCAGGGGTGCTAAAAAGCAAGCAGGTGTTCTGCCGCGTCGCAAACTCTTCTGTGGGACAGGCACCGTGCCCAAACTCTGAATTCTAAGGCGTTGGAGCCCTAGTTTCAACCCCTAAAGCCTAAGATTCTGAAGTTTATAGAGCCTACACGCCCAAACCCCTCAAACCCTACATGTCTGCCGATCTTCCTGGTTGAGTGTACAAAAGTCTGGCAGAATAATTAGGAATAGTATTCCGTCCTATATATTCCCCATGTGGTTTCTAGGAGAACAGACCCAAAAGGGCCCGCAAGAGACTCGCTGTTCAGTCAAGGTTCAGGGTCTGCCTAAAACCGAAACAGTATACCCTTGTATGGACTTCTAGCTATAAGGAACCCTAAACCCTAAACCCTAATTATCAGGAACCCTAAACCCTAACCCCTGAACCCTCAATCCAAAACCTTGAACAGTGCAGGTTCTCGGGTTCAGGGGTTTAGGGTCCGGGCTTGGGTTTGGCAACATGCTATGGTTTAGAGTCGCTTACAAAGTCCAGAAATCTGAAGAGCCCCGGGCCAGTACTATACATGGACCCTCATCTTAGGGGTACTTAGAAATAATTTTTAATCTTTGGCTACTATAAACCCTAAGAAGCAGCTAAAATTATAATTTTTGCTAGGGGTCTAAGTTCAGTATAGTCATAGTAACCCTTTTAGAACCCTTAAAGGAGAATTCCCAATAAGGGATCTATATGTAACCCTAAACCCTGAACCCTGAACTTCAGTTAAGAAGGGACCTTTCAGGGGGTCATACGATGGATGGTATAAAACCTGCATTACCCGTCATAAGGAATGTTCCATAACTCCCATAGTTCAGGGTCCTTAAAGTAATGAAGGATTTATATCATCAGCAGTAGTAGCGCTTATAGAACCCACAAAGGAGCCTTTTCAAGGAGCCCTTGGCCCTTAAAGTACAGGGCACCCAGGTCCAGGGAAGTCTTAGGCACTTAAAAATCGTATTCAGGACACTCCCTGCTAAACCCTCCTTATAGAACCCTTATGGATCCCTTATAGAACCCTTATTGATTTAAGGATTAGGGTTTAGGGTGTAGGGTTCCGAAACCCTAAACCCTAAACCCTAGGAGCCTTACTTTCTAAGTCCCATGAGGTTATGATCGCCGCTCGCCTTGTTATACTTGGAGGTTCTTGGGTAGTGATAAGTGGGGTTATAAGTACGTAGGGGAACTATAATTACAACCCATATTAGGGGACTTATGACCCTACTTACAACTACCCATGAACCTCCAAGTCAGGAGTACTTTAAACCCTAAACCCTAAAGCCTAAACCCTAAACCCATGAACCTCCAAGCAGGGTGGAAACCTTACGCTCGTAGGTTTTTTTTGGGTCTTCTGGAAGGGCGAGCTCGGGCTTTAGTGGCCAGGGTCTAGGGGTCTAGGCTTTAGGCTTTGGGGGTTTCAGGGTAGTGTTTCCAGGAGTATGTACTGGCTAGGTACTTGGACCCAAAGGTCTTGTGGGAGCTTGAGGAAGAAGAACCGCGTGATTGAGTCTACTTGGAGGATCATGGGACTTAGTAAGTAAGGTTATAAGTCCCTTAATTGGGGTTATCAGTAAATATAAGTACAGTTACCTTAATTATAAGCCTACTTACGAAATCCCATGATCTTTTAAGAAGGCCTCTGTGGAAATTGTCAAGGCATCGACAGCCCAGGTGTTGGATGTAGGCCGTAGGCCGTAGGCTCATTGATCCGCAACCCACCCTACTTGGAGGATCATGGGACTTATACCCAATTAAGGGACTTATAGCCTTACTTACTGAGTCCCATGATCCTCCACGTAAGCTCCCACACGCTAGACTCTGCTGGACGCTTTCACTCTACCCTTCGCATCAAGCAACGCGAAACTCCGAAACAGAAACCCGAAACCACCCAAAACGGACCTTGAAACAGTAACTTCTTTTCAGGCGCAGAAACAGAAACCCTGAAGCAGATACCTAAAACCAAAGTTGGGCCGTGAAAGAGATGTCCTAAGCCCCGAACTCAAGCGTTGGGTCTGGGTTTGTAATGGTCTAAACCCGAAACCCTAAACCCCAAACCCCCAAACCCTAAACCCCTCATAAGGGTTTAGGGTATAGAGTTTAGGGAAGCAGAAACAGGCCGCACGCAGATGCATGCCCACTGGTGGAGAGCTCAGGGGCTCAGGAGCTGACGGCTCAGGGCTTCTCAGGGTTTAGGGTTCAGGGTTTGGGGTTTGGGGTTGGGGGTTTAGGGTTTAGGGTTTCTGCAAGGAGGCTAAGCCATAAACTTTCTTCCTTAGTTGTAGACTATACCTCTTTTCTTGGTCGTAGGCTGTTTCGGCTTTACAGCAGGGCCTGCGATGTGCTGGAGAGTTAGCTTTTTTTGGTTACTGCTGCGGACTCTGAGTTTAGGGTTTAGTGTTCAAGGTTTGGCGTTTGGGCGAGTTGAAGCTGCAACAGGAGCAAGAGGACCCCTCTCCGGACGATGAAGATCTGGCTAACATTCAGGTAGAGACGCATGGAAGCTGACTTCATCGACCAGGCGAGTGACACGCCTTTCTGCTACCAGGAGATGCAGCGGCAGAGTAGGTGGGAGGCAGCTGTAGCCAAAGAGCGGCGGAAGCTGGCCGAAACCATGAGCGACATAGCAGTAGCAGAATCAAATGGAGTTGGCCCGCGACGAAGAGGAGCAGGACGAAGAATCCTCTTCTAGACGCCGAGCAATCGAAGACAACGTTTCAACTACTGGCAGGACAGATCTCGTCCAGAGCGTCCGGCAGAACCTGCCAACCCACCTCGTGCACGAGGAAGAGGACGCGCCTCTACAGCAGAACCTCGTTCTCGCTCACGAGGACACGGAGGTATCTTCTCAAGGCCCAACTTTGTTGACAAAATCAACACGCCTCTTGACGAAGTTGCTCGCTTCATGGAATGTTTAGGTTTACAATGCTTTGGACCAATAGGTTCAAGGTAGCAGCAGCTGTTTCGGGCAAGGGTACTACATCAGAGTTCGGGGTTGCTGGTGATCCGGGTCATGTCTTACGCGTTACTATCAAATCTCATAATCGCGCTAGGCCTACACCCTGCAATGGCTGCCCGGTACCTGGAGTACGAACCTTGTGCTGTTCTTGGATGTTGGTTAGTTTGCACAAAGGAAGATAGCGTCATTTTATCCGCTAAGAAACGCCATCCTAGGTCCTCGAGCAGTTTTCTCCAAAACTTTGCAGCCAGCCCCCAACTCCAAAAACATGCGCAGGCTGGGTGGGGTAGGGCGCAGAAAGGGGCGGTGGGTGGGACTGCCCTACAGAAAGCCGACCGCTTCGGCCGGGGCCGAGGCGAATATTAGTAACAGCAAGAATCATATATACCGTATACCAATAATCATCGCAAAAATAACAATACTCATAATCATAATAATAATAAGAATAATGATAATAATACTGACAGCAACATTAGGTGTTCGGCTTCAGGGTTGCCGTCGCCTGTTATTGAAACCTACACGCTTGCGGGATATGTAAAGCCCACGAGAAAACCCCAAACCCGAGACCCTAAATGGGGTTTCTGAAAATGGAGGTACCTTATTTGGGGGTCCTTATTATAGGGATCCTATTATTTGGGGTACTATATTAGGGTCCCCTATTTTCGGAACCCCCAAATCCCAAACCCTAAGCCCTAAGCTTTCTAAAGCTGAGTGAGGGCTTCCAGGCCTAATATGGCTGCACTCGCCTTCCCAAGTGGGATCTCCGGCACTGCTGGAAAAGAGGCGCTGAACACAAAAACTTTCTAAAGCCCTGAGCTCGAAGCCCCACAGCCAGGCAGTTGCCTCGCGCTGGTCATTGCCCTGAGCCAGATGTTGAATCTCGGACTCCTTGGGTTTTGGGGTTTTGGGGTTTGAGTTCTATATGGTTCCTTGCCGTTTGAAGGAGAGTGGGCCAGAAGGGTTATGAGATAAGGCAACATCCCCTGAGCCATAAACCCTTGAGCCCCAAACCCCTGCACCCCAAACCCTGAAGGCTTAAGCCCTAAGGTCTCATGGTTATCATGGAGAAGCTTGAATAGTTAGCTATAGTATTTTGGGGTTCCTTATTAGAATTATAGTATAAAATACCCCAAAACCCTATTCTAGTTCTTCAGGCCCCTACAGTATCCACTTGTTTTCCGGGCTGCTTGGATTGAACCAGGGTATGCAGACACCCTATTCTGATTGCAGATCAAGGCCGGCGAGTAGTGAGCCTCATTCTGGACACTCATTGCCCTGATTCCCTTTGTCGTTTATCGCAACAGTACAGCTAGCACACTTTACACTCCCAAAATGCAAGATCCTATACCTCACATGGGACCTGTAACCTTTGTACAACGGGTTATGCAACCGTTGATCCAGCAGCTGGATCCATTTATTTTATGATGCCCCTCCCTCCCAATGCAAATCCTCTGGTTCCATGCACCTATATAGTATATATTTACGTAGGCCTTGAAGAGGTTCCTTGTAGGTACTTTCAGGCTTAAGTATATACCATGTACGCGCATGGAGCCCGATCACTACCTCACGGATCATGGGACTTAGCAACTCTGCTTAGACATACTGTAACTACGACTTAGAAGCTCATAGCCCCAGCTAAGGTACTTCTTAGCCTTGCTTCCTAAGTCCCATACTCCTCCAAGTAGGGAAGTCCAGGAAGCCTAATTGCACCCTTAGAGGAACCCTTGAAGGAACCCCAGACGTACATTGGAGCCTTACTGTAGGGGCCTAAATAATTACCAATGCCGCTTTGGGCGCTCCTTGTTAGAATTATAGTGTAACGGGCCCCAAAACCCTATTTTACTTATTAAGGCCCCTAAACCCTCAACCCTTACAGAAGACCTTATAGAACCCTTTAAGGAACCCTTAAAAGGAATTCCTCAAGACCTTATTCTAACTAGTAAGGCCCCTATATTAGGGAAATCCAGGAACCACCATGACTTGATGCTGCCTGCAGCTGCCCACAACATGCGCCTTCGGCTGCGCAAGGTGCCCGGGTTTAGCGTTCGATTGAAGCGATCGATACTGGGTTCTATATGGGATCTATAGGGATCTAGAGTTTAGGGTTTAGGGGTTCTGGCATTTAGGGTTGAGGGGTTTGGGATTTAGGGGTTAGGAAGGAGTATGAGAAAAGATTCCTTAAGGTACACCCTGGGTATGAAAAACTGCTTTTCTTCAGGGTCCTTGATATTGGAATTCCTAGGAAAGACATTTCTTTCACGTAAAAGGGGTGCTATCAGTCAGGGGTTTACGTTACTGTCGACCCTATCTGATGAAATCCGTACCGACCCCTAACACTCTGAAACCCCCCCAAAAAAGCCTAGCCTGTTAGAGTCTATCACACACTGAAACCCCCAACAGGTTATGCGATAAGGACCCCCTCTAAACCCTAAGCCCCAAACATCAAAAAAGGTAAAGAAGGTACCCCCCAACACTCTGAAACCACCCCCCCTACACCCTAAACCCTAAACCCTAAAAACCCTCAACCCTAAACCCCCCAACACTCTGAAACCACCCCCCCTAAACCCTAAACCCTAAACTCTAGCAGAAGTCGGGCCTGTCGGAGTTTAATATAGGGGCCTTAATAACTACCTGTATTCTTCTTGGGGGTTCCCTACTATAGTTATAGTATAATGGGCCCTAAAACCCTAGTCTAACTATTAAGGTCCCTATATTCCCTAAACCCTAAACCCTATATTAGTCGAGGGGCCTTTTCTCTCGGGCTAGGGTTTCGGGTGGTTTCCTTTTCTTTTCGTCTTTAGGATCTTTCGTGTTTTTAGGATTTCTAGCACGCAGCTCCTTTTGTAGGTGTTCCAGAGAGGGCTCTTCTCTACAACAAACCCTTTCCTTTGACCACACATATTTGAGTATCTGTAATGTTTGTTTTGATTTGTTTAGTTTTGTCTGTGTGTGTGTTTCGGGCTACGAGTGAGTATCGTGTCAAGTGTCTAGGGCGACAGACTTAGGGCATAGGAGACTAGGAGGCCTGCATGGTTGGATGACTTGGAGGGTCGTGGGACTTCGTAACTCGGGCTATAAAAACAAGAGAACTATACACTTCTAGTTACGCACTCACAACCCCAATTGAGGTACTTACAACCATAACCTTACTTACTAAGTCCTCCCATGATCCTCCAACGTGGGCATCGGCTGTAATTAATGTAGGAGCCTGATCAAGAAACCCAGGGGCTGCAACCCCACAATACCGAATCAGGATTCTATATAAAAACTCAATAAGATGCAGGGTTTCTGAATCAGGCTGCTGTCCAAATCCCCTAATCCCCCAACCCTAAATTCTATACCCCTGAACTCCTAACCTCTAAACCCTAAACCCCTAAACCCCTAAACCCCTAATCCCTAATCCTTGAACGGCAACTAGGGTGAAGAGGCCCCGTGACGGTGGGCTGGTTAGTTGTTTTTTGGGGCTACAAGGGAGTTTTTCACAAGGCTTTAGGGTTTAGGGTTTAGGGGCTGGGCTGGTTGGTTGCTTTTTGGTGCTACTAGGGACTGTTTCAGAAGGGTGCATACTGGGTTTTGGGAATGTGGGAGGTTTCCGAGAATAGGGGACCCTAGTATAGTACCCTAAATAGGAGGACCCTTGTAAAGACACCACAAGAAGGTCCCCCCTTATTTTCGGAAACTCCCGTGTGGGGTTGAGGGTTGCAGGGGTTCAGGGTATAGAGCTGAGAGCTTGGCTTTGAGGGAACCGATTCGTGCTTGGGGGCCCCTGTCACTGCCATATCTTAGGGGGTCTAGGGTTTAGAGATTTTAGGCTTTAGTATATTTCAGCTTGCATTGAATTGCTGGAGAAGCTTCAACGCCAAACACTTCGCCACTAGTTCAACATGATATAGGGGCCCTAATAATTGCCTATACTATTTTTGGGGCTCCTTGTTACAATTATAGTATAATCTACGCCAAAACCCTGTTCTAATTATTACGGCCCCATATTACACGTTGAGTCCTACGCCGTAAGTGGTAGGGTCCGGATCCTGAAAGCCACTGAAAACGGCTTGTTGCACTCTCGGCATTGTAAACGTAGTTAAGGCCCCAAAAGACTGCCATTCGAAAGTCTGAGAAAACCGTATCAGACAACCCTAGACCGTAAACCCAAAGCCTAACAAAACAAGTCTTCATAAAAGAAGACCCCCGATGAATTCTCAGGTGCTGAGAACGGATCAAACTTGAAGTCCTTACATCCTAATACCTACCTGGGCCCCAAGAGTATGTAGAACAATAGCCCTTTAAAGGTGTTGGGCCATTAAGCCTACCTACTTTTTAGGGTTTCGGTAAACCCTGAACCCCAAAATTCGATTTTCGAAGTCCAAAACCCGAGACTAAACACTGAACTCTGAATCTTAAACCCTAAACCCATACAGATCCCTTACAGAACCCCTATAGATCCCTACAGAGGAACCTTAAACCCTAAATCCTACACCCGAAACCCCTAAACCCTATTTCCCAAACCCCCTAAACCCTCAACCCCTGAACCCTTACCCTAACCCCTACACCCTAAACCCCCAAATCGTTGGAGGATGCCGAGCTGTGCCAGCGTCTTAAGACGGAAGTTGAATCCGTCGAGGCAGCATTCTTGAGTGTGATATCCCTACAGGGTTAGGGTTTAAGTCCATGTGGGAGTTTCCGAAAATTAGGGGTACCTTATTGTGGGGTCCTTATAATGAGGATCCTACTATTTAGGGTACTCTATTAGGGTCCCCTATTTTCGGAAACCCCCATGTACTCACATAGCATCTACTTTGGCCTTTATGTAGTTCCTGGTTAGGTACTCAGGGCCCAAGTATAATTATGCTATATGGCACCATGGACCCTAAGGATGCGGTCTGTTATAGTGCGTTGTGCTTCACATTGCCATGTTGTATCGTGGTGCCGGGATTTGATGCAACGGGCATTAGGGCATGTTTGGCGAGCATTGAACCGTTTAGCGTAGAAGTCTAGATAAGTACAGCTAGCGAAATCGTTTGAACAACGAACAAGGGGATGACAGTTCACTGGGCCGGTTGTCCACTCCAAGTCACGGTGCATGCTCCAATGCCTGAAGCCACAACCTAGCCCTAAACCCTAAAGCCCTAAACTCGAAACCATTTCGCAAGAAAGAAACACACTCATGCAACTAGCGTGAGGTGGCTATGTGTGCCAAGCTTTGCGGTTCTTACCAGGATTTAGAGAGCGTGTCTTGCTGTCGGGACGCGGTCTGAGCTGGTTGTGTACCAATGAAGGACAGTCAGGCCACTAGCCCTAGGTGAGTATACTTGGAGGGTCATGGGACTTAGTAAGTGGGGTTATAAGTCCCCTAATTGGGGTTATAAGTATAGTTACCTTGATTATAACCCTACTTACTAAGTCCCATGATCCTTTAAGTAGGTGAGTATACCCTTGGAGCAGGATCGAGTAAGTTTCATAGGAAGTATCACAGCCTCTGTGATCTGAGAGTTCAGGAATTCAGGAATTCGAACATGGTTTAGGGTTACTATAGAGGCCTAACTAAATTACCAACATTATTCCTCGGGGCTCCTTACTCTAATCATACTATAATGTACCCAAAACCCTCTTCTAATTATAAATGCTCCTGCATTTGGGTCCAGGTCTTGGGGTTCTGGATCTAGACCCTAAACCCTAAAACCTAAACCCTAAACCCTAAACCCGAGCCTCAAAGCTTCGTTGTGCTGCCTTTCCTCGGCCGCCTGGGCCCAGACGAGCTATCACCATAGTGTAGTTAGTATTATTAGGGGTTTAGGGTCTAGTTTAGGGTTTAGGGTACCATGGTAGGTAGTAACCCTATTTTTGGCTCTCTTAACAGGGACCTTATTGAGAGGGTCTAAATCCCCAAGGGTCCCCCTAATCCTAGTCCTAGCTATCACCATAGGAGTTCTTTCTTTACCTGGTCTCCTGGTTGGTGCATGGTATGTCTTGCAGCAGCTTGGCATTTCTCTTTCAGGCTAGTGTTGTTGCTGTTCCCACTTCTTTTGCAAAGCTCTTCCCGTGGTGGCTGCAAATCATGACGGCGGCTGACGAGCAAGAAGAACTCCACGATCCGGTTCCCATGGTCCTTGGCAGGACCTCGAAGGAGTGCGAAAGCGAAAGTGAAAACGAAGCATGTGCCCGATTCATCGCACAAATGGACCTCGCAGGCCCGGAGGTCCTGAGAGTGATGCCGGCTGTTACTTTACCGCTCTTAGATATGATGTCTATTTTTCTTGTAATATATACTAGGAATGATGTCACTGTCTATTTTTCTTGTAATATATACTCCAGGGGGTTCAAAAGAATAATGCCTTTTTCGGGTTCTAAGGGCGGCTAAGGTTAAGGCCTTTCAGCACTGCTTTCTAGCTTTGCGCTGCGCATATGGTATTGACCTCCTTGCATTGAGTCACCAGAGCGAAACGATAACAGACTTCTGGAGCCATTCTTGGCACGGGGAGCTCTGGAAGAAAGTGTTGACACTCATCACCATTTACAATGGTCGAGCAGCCATCGGGTTAGGCATGTTCGTTGCCGTTGTGATGATGGTGTTATCCCTTGTTCTGGATCTCCCTGGTTACGACCGGCACGACATGCGCGAAACGGACTGGTCTGCGTGGTCCTCATGGTCTGGATTTCTGGTCACGGTGCTAGTGATGATCTTCTGGCGCTCTCAAACGCGTGTTTTCCTCGACCGTACCTGCATCAGTCAAAGCGACGACGAATTGAAGTCGAATGGTATTTCAGAAGCTGAATGGGCACACTTTACACTTTTAGGGATACTAAGTATAATCGCCCCCTGTAGAGCTGCAAGTTTGAACGTGTTGGAGCCTATGAACTCAGCAACTAAGGTATCCTTAGTCTGGCTGGAATGCTTCGACGGTCGGATTCGATGCTCATTCTTTGGGATCCAACGTGGACTGAAACTCGATTATCTGGGTTCTTCTCGTTAAGGAATACGCAATTATTCTCTAGTTGGCATTGGGTCTTTAATTTTCTTTGTGTTTGTATGACTTGCAACCGGGAACATGGCAGTTTGTATAAGTTCTAGGAGGAGCTCACAAGTAAGGAAAGATTGTGGTGCTTGTTCGAGCTTGCGGCATTCTTGAAAAGCAGGGAGCATGGGGCTAGTCAGCAAGACCTGACGATCACGCCAACCCTTCTAGGTCCGATCCGAATCGGAACTTTCTTGACTGCCACCGCTGGTTCGCTTGCTTTCAGAATGGCGCCTGCTGTGCGACCCTCCGTTTCCCGTCCACAGTACTATTTCCTCAACACCACTTTTCTGACCTCGGTTGCTGTCTTTGTGTTGGGCTATGTGCTTGCGGGCATCTTGCGACGCTATTTTCGAGACTTAGACACGATGAGGCGGCAACTGATGTCCATGTCCTTCGACACCGCTCTTTGTGCCTGTTGTACCAGAGGACATGACGACTCACCCGGCGACCCGTGTGATCGGGAAATATTGAAGCAATGTATGTTGATATGGTTCGGTAGCTTGGAGTCGTTTGATAGCACCGTGAGATCGGAAGTGCTGGAGGTTTTGATGCAGGACCTTGAAGAAGTTTTCAGCACAAGGTCCACGATCGCAGCATACACTCCAATCATGTGGGCTGTCATGGACTATGCCGTTACCTTTTCACGGGTTGAAGGACACTTCTGGTCCAATCTCCTGGCTACACTCGCGGGTGGATTGGTGCTCTGGCTTGTGGGTATGCCATCGTTGAAGAGTTGGCTCGTGCTCGTATGCAAGCTCGCACGGGCGAGGCCAGGTAGTTGGTGTCGCGAGGTCATGAAGAACCTTGGTGGAGCTTTGAGACCCTTTATTTTTTCCGCTTTTTACGGTCCTGTAGAGGTCTCCATTCATAACTACTTTTGAGAGCCCTTAACTTAAAGTACACCCCAGGAACTCACTGGTAGCGCTGATCGTCCTCTCTCATTTGGTCTCCCTCTGGCTGCTAGGTGGCACTTTGGGAAACTTTTATAATTTCCCTTATGGTTCCTATAAAGGTATCTATTCATACATACTTGGAGGATCATGGGACGTAGTGAGTAAGGTTATCAGTCCCCTAATTGGGGTTATGAGTATAGTTACCTTAGTTACAACCCTACTTACTAAGTCCCATGATCCTTTAAGTCAGGTCCCCAACACTACAACCCAGGTTAGTTTGGACGCTCGCATATGGTCTTCAGCTTTCTCGGGCTGGAGTTGCGGGAGTGTCCATTGTCGGTACACTGCTCCTTGTCTGTTTTGCTTAGTTCTCCAATACCCAACCTTTCATAACTTTTGGGGTTCTTATATAATTGTATTAACCCTAAACCCTAAACCCTAAACCCTAATCCGTTAACCCTAAGCTGAAAGTTTAACCTTTTACTTCCTTGGCTTCTTGGGGAAGTAAGTTTCTGGCTGTAGGACTTTGCCAACCTGGGTTCTCTATCATCTCTACTATGGAGCCTACCAGTTTCAACTCCCTAAACCCCAAACCCTAAACCCCAAACCCCTAAACCCCTAAACCCCTAAACCCCTAAACCCCTAAACCCCAAACCCCTGTATAAACCCTAAACCCAAACCCTCAACCCTAAACCCAGGGTTCAGAAGTCAGCCCAGGCTCCATGCCATTCTCTTTCGGTGCCTTGGCCTCGTCCTCACAGCCATCTGGCCCGAGGGTTCACACGGTTTAGGGCCTAGGGTCTAGGGTTTAGGGTCTAGGGTTTAGGGTTTACGGCTTGGGGTTTAGGGTTTAGGATTTAGGGTTTACGGTTTAGGGTTTATGGTCTAGGGTTAGGGTTTAGGGTTTAGGATTTAGGGTTTAGGGTCAGAGGTTAGGGTTTAGGGTTGAGGATTTAGGGTTTAGGGTCAGAGTTTAGGGTTTCGGGTTTAGGGTTCTAGGGCCTGTAGGGTTCAGGGTCAGAGTTTAGGGTTTAGGGTTTAGGGTTCTAGCGGATCTTTTCTTTGGGAGCACCCCGAAGCGGGAGCGAAGCCCTGACAGCTTACTCGATGAAAAGTCGCTGTCTGGGGATCTCACAGGGGCCTGGGGTTTAGGGTTTAGGTTTAGGGTTTAGGGTTTGAGGCTTAGTGTTTAGGGTTTAGGGCTTAGGGTTTAGGGCTTAGGGTTCAGGGCTTTGGAGTGCAGCACACACGAGGGAAACCAGTTTACAAAAAGCAGGCATGGGTTGCACAAAACGGTCCTGGCACCTCAGTAGGGACCCCATCTCAAGTCATTGAGCATTCAGGCTATTTACTTTCCTGCTCATTGCAAAGCCTACTTAAAGGATCATGGGACTTAGTAAGTAGGGTTATAATTCAGGTAGCTGGCCTTGTAATTACTTATAACCCCAATTAAGGGACTTATAACCTTACTTACTAAGTCCCATGATCCTCCAAGTAGACCCTAAACCCTAAACCCTAAACCCTCAGCCCTAAGCCCTAAACCCTGAGCCCTAAGCCCTAAACCCTAAGCCCTAAACCCTAAGCCCTAAACCGTAAGCCCTCAACCCTAAGCCCTAAACCCTAAACCCTTAACCCTAAGCCCTAAGCCCTAAACCCTAAGGAAGGAGGAGCCTGGAGAAGCACCCGCCCGCACTTCCGAGAACACCCATATTCAAAATGCAGCTTTTGAGCCATAGCGGGTTTTAGGGTTTGCAGGGTTTAAGGTTTGTTTTAAGGGATCCTTTAAGGGGTTTTAAGGTTTAGGGTTTCCTTTCAGGGATCCTTTTAAGGGTTTTAGGGTTTAGGGTTTTCACAATTCCAAGAGGGTCCAGATATTCTACTATTACTGGAGTTTTGTTCCCAAAACCATAATAGGGATGGTCTTTTGGGATCTCAATAGACAATGGTAGTGTATGTGGACCCTCTAAGATTACTAACTAGCAGTACCCTTCCAAAGTCTCCAATAGAGTCCTCCAAAAGCACACGCCCCCTCCCCAACCCTGCTGTAATTGTTGAGGCCCGCATGGTGTGCGTTTTGCTGGTAACCTAAGCTGCAATGCCCCACCCCTAAACCCGAAACCCTGGACCCTAAAAGTAGCAACTGCAGTTGAGCCTCCGAACACAACCAAACGCATGAATCCCTGCGGAAGCCAATAGGGCTTAGAATTTAGGGCTTAGGGCTTCGGGTTTAGGGTCTAGGGTCTAGGGTTTATGGTTTAGGGCTTAGGGTTAGGATTTAGGGTTTTACATTTAGGGTTCAGAAGCCAGTATACACACAAACAGACCGCAACCCTACACCTGAGTTCTACATCCTGAACCTCGTTAGCGGGAGGGAGTATACTCTTATGGCGAAGTCCTCCCCACGGCTTCCCAAACTGGAAGCCGTTCAGAAGTAGAAGAGACTTGTCGGCCTGCGTAACACACACGTACTTGGGGCGTGGAAATCGGCTATAAGTGGATCATAAATACCCGGAAAAGTTGAAGCCATCCTCCCTAGAGCCTGATAGGTTTACGGTGTATTAAGTTTACGGTATATCTTAAAGGATCGTGGGACTTAGTAAGTAGGGTTATAATTCAGGTAACTGCATATATATATATATATATATTTACTTATAACCCCAATTAAGGGACCTATAAACTTACTTACTAAGTCCCATGATCCTCCAAGTAAGGCCTGCCGATGAAGTAGGGTAACTTTAGGGCTGCTAGGGTTGAAGGTATACCAAGTAAGCCCCATGATCCTCTTAAGTGCACACGCCAAAGATCCTGACAGCGAGCGAGTCTGGATTTTTTGGTAGGGTTTAGGGTTTAAAAAACAGGGTTTGGGGTTGAGGGTTGCTCCAGGGTTTAGGGTTTATGGGGCGCGCAGGTCATCCTTGAAGATAGCGTCGTGCTGCCACGGCAGGCAAGTGGGGGCCACTGAAAAGCTTGAGGCCCCTAAAAAGGGTTATTCTCTAAATTAGGGTCCCGTTTGGGGCCCCTTTTATGAGGGTGCCTCACTATATTGGGGACATAAAAAGGGACCCTATTTAGAGAACTACCCATAT